AATTACTCCAGTACATAGACGTCTAATAAACTAGACAAGAACTTCGTTATAGCCAGGCTTCAGTCATTACAAGTCCCCAGACTATCGGGACATTTTGTATTTGTAGTGCCGTGTATTGAACAAAGGGATATGGGAGTTATTTACATGCTAAACCTAATCCTTTTTACTTACAAAGTTATGTATTTGGGCAGTGCCTGTGTGTCTGGTGTGTGTGTGTGTGTGTGTGTGTGTGTGTGTGTGTGTGTGTGTGTGTGTGTGTGTGTGTGTGTGTGTGTGTGTGTGTGTGTGTGTGTGTGTGTGTGTGTGTGTGTGTGTGTGTGTGTGTGTGTGTATGTCCATTTTTCCTGGAGGTAAATATAATGTACTATGTAAATGAACTAATCGAAAACATTTTAAATACGTCAGCTATAAAGGTCAAACTCAACTGGCAAAGATATGAGGTCGTAAAAATCTAGTTTCAATGAAAATGTAATAACCTTTTCTTTAATGCTTGGTAGTAATTCTAAAAATAGAGTGATGTTATGAGCATTCCCTAGGGGACTATCATGACCATTGTGCATTATACAGCGCTAGAACCGTGCGGTGTACATGTAATGTTATATTGAGTTGGAGGACTTTGAACAGCGATGAAGCAGTAACAAGAATTCAGAGATCTCACACCTCCATGAAATATATTAGTTTTTGTAATTTTTTTTTTGTCTCATTGGCTATGGAAATAAGGTCGTAACTAGCATAATATAGTTTAATTTATGATTTTCTACATTCAAATGACAATATTTTTCGTGTAAAATTCCTCTGCTTTGTCATACTGACAGGAAAAGCTATCTGTCACCAAAATGTCAAGATCATGGCGTGTTCAGGACAAAAGATACAAAAAACGGAAGTTCTGCTGCAGTACCAAGGTCATCCACCAGGAATCCCATTTTTGACCTTGACCTTCGTCTTCCTAAGACTTACCAACATACCAAATATCATCGCAGTCCATAAAGGCGTTCTGAAGTTATGCTGACTACAATTGTGCGGAAACAAAAACACACACACACACACAGACACACACACACACAGACACACACACACACACACACACACACACACACACACACACACACACACACACACACAGACAGACACGCCAAAAACAATACCTCCATTTTTCATGGAGGTAACAAAGGCTATTGCACTGCACCTTTCATCTAAAGTACCCATGTGTTGTTGAGCTTCTAAATAGAGATGGCGTCGAAGACCCCCAACTAAGGCTTATAAGCCAGGAACAAGAAGCAACATTAGGTTCATCTAAATTCTTTCACTGAAATACATGAAATTCACCAGTATTTAAAATATTATCAACGGTCGTCATACTTTCAATCACATTATAATTCTTCATTAACAAGGACCCTGCAGTTGTCAATATCTACTGTGTAACGTAACATTCAACATTTTAAAACGTTTGTCAAAGCCCGATGTCAGTGACCCATACATGTATTACCTTGATTATATTGGCTATACAGATACAGAAGCTGGTGTGTTACGCCGAAAGGCGGTTATACCGGCTATACAGATACAGAAGCTGGTTTGTTACGCCGAAGGGCGGTTATACCGGCTATACAGATACAGAAGCTGGTGTGTTACGCCGAAGGGCGGTTATACCGGCTATACAGATACAGAAGCTGGTGTGTTACGCCGAAGGGCGGTTATACCGACTATACAGATACAGAAGCTGGTGCTTTACGCCGAAGGGCGGTTATACCGGCTATACAGATACTGAGAAGCTGGTGCGTTGCACGAAGGGAGTTTATACCGGCTATACAGATACAGAAGCTGGTGCGTTACGCCGAAGGGCGGTTATACCGGCTATACAGATACAGAAGCTGGTGCGTTACGCCGAAGGGCGGTTATACCGGCTATACAGATACTGAGAAGCTGGTGTGTTACGCCGAAGGGCGGTTATACCGGCTATACAGATACAGAAGCTGGTGTGTTACGCCGAAGGGCGGTTATACCGGCTATACAGATACAGAAGCTGGTGTGTTACGCCGAAGGGCGGTTATACCGGCTATACAGATACAGATAAGAATTGAAGCTACTGGACTAAGATTCTTACTCCAGTCAAACCGCGGCGTGGCCTTTATGTTTATAGATCAGAACAAAAGACCCGCGGGCCCTCTACATGGAACTAACTACTATATGGAACCTCCTTTCACTATTACCGTCCATCATTTACACATCGGCTAACCAAATTGGAATTAATTGCAACCGTATATCTGCTCCCTTTGATATTTCAAACCCGAGACGTCATCCCTCTTTAGTAATAATGGCCTTAAGCTGTCATCTTGATGCATTCAGAAGGAGTTTTGCCTTTGTAGTTCCAGTGTTGTTCTGGTCGCCATGACTACCGGCTTCGGGTGTTTAGTTCAGAACGGATGCCCTGTGGCATATTCTGATACCTGGTGAAGAACAAGAATAGCAACCGATGTAATTTGTATGATATTAACATCAGCATAGAAATAACGTCTGTTTCTACTGAAAATCAATTTCCTACTCAGGATCGGTACTGTGGAATAACTTGTCAACTGAGTTAAGAACGGCTTCGTCAGTTGCAGCGTTTAAAAACCGTCTGCGTCAAGTGAATTTTGGATGCTTGAAACTGATGAGTCATACGAACAGAGATAGTGTTTGGTTATTGTATAACGTTACTGTGTATATATTTATATTGTAATTATACGCCGAATTGTAACTGAACTGAAGAATATGCAAAGACCCCTGACCTGCCTCCCCTTGACCTCTTGAAAAACGGCTTAGGCCGAAGAGTTTGTACTGCTACGAAATTGTACTGTACATTTTCAAGGTTAAACAAAGGTTGAAAAAAAAAATTCTCTTTGAACCAAAGAAATCGAAGAAAAGATCTTATTCTTGAAATTGTATGGCTTTTAAGGCGAAGGGTGAAGTAGTCTGATTCCAAAGAAGAAAGTAGTCCGATTCAGTGCCTCTTCATTAGGCCACACCGCCTTAATTTTATGGATGACATCCGCGCGCGCATTGATTTTCGTCAGACTTTGGAAAAATAAACAAGAAATTTTGTTGCCTTCTGACAGTGGTCAACATGCCGAAAATGGGCAAAGATGTCTGTTGCCATGCCGGAAGATGGATGGCAGAAAACTATGAAGAGAGGAGACAAGAAAAGGCTCTGATTTAATGTTTTGTTTCTTACTTTGATGCAGTGATATGTGATGCTGACTGTGTATATGTGATGTTCCCAATGAATCAAAGCCATTTGTACAATGATTGAGTCAAAATTTTAAAATGTAGGAACCTTGTTTTTTTTGGTCCGTCTTGTTGTTTTTCGCCCGCTCGCATTAGATTTGGAGTCTGCGGAGGATGTCATCCATAAAATTTACTTGCTGTGGCCTTACCTGTTATCAAGTTGCACACTAAAGAAGACTGTTGCAGGCAGGAGGCACCTCACGGGGCTGGACAGGTGCAGCGGGATGTGGATTGTTGTTTTGTCTCCATGGAAACATCAGGACTAATGAGAAGGAAGATGACACACAATAATTACCATGTGCAAATATTAACACACCGCGCTGGCAGGGAAGCTCTGGGTCTGATTAGCTCCAAATAGACGCGGTAACCACTGTGGAGATAGCCTGGTTACCAAAGCTATTATATATAGCTTCCGAGTCCTACATCCTCTCCGCTATTTGCAGAGAGGATGTACAAATGTAGGACTCGGGAGCTATAATAGGTTTGGCTACTGTGGAGATACTGACATCAAGGTAATACATGTATGGGTCACTGACATCAGGCTTTGACAAACGTTTTAAAATGTTTACTGTTGACTGTTACGTTACACCGTAGATCGATATTGACAACTACATGGTCGTTGTTAATGAAGAGGAAATCATAATGTAGAAATGATCGTTTATAGTTGCTTATTGCAAATTCATGCCCGAGGGCTAATTGCATACAGACATTGACAAGAAAAATGTGGTGATATAAGAATATTTGCTAACATGAACTTCTACGTGTACGATATACTTATCGAACCTACTATCTCTACTTAAATCTAATAACGTTGGCATACATACAGGATAAAAAAGTAAATACAATGTAACTGCTATTCTAATCTATTCTATTCTATTAAACTATTCTTGTCATGCTATTAGGGGGTTTGACTTCTTCTCAGGATTATGACGTCAACGACCGCTGATAATGGATTCTGTAACACTCAAAAGTACTTGATGCCTGCATGAAGGATTTAATGGTCCTCATTTTTCTTCGCCAAGTAATTATACTTTTAATACAACTGACTGTTCTTTTATTGCTTATGCAATTAATGATCTTTTTATCACAAATAACACTAGCTGTCGAACGGTTTGAAAAGAAAATCATGTAACGAAGACTAGAGCAGACCAAATTTTAAACGTCCAGTGACTTTTCCCTCGGCAGTCGAAAATACATATGGCTATTGCAAAGGTTGCCGGTAAAAGTTTACTTCTGACCACTGTTTCATATTCATTACTCGCAGGTACGTGTTACTTATTTTACATGCTATTATTATTATATTATCAAGTGACCATATAATTGACTATGTATAAGGCCCCGGACTAGTACTCTTCAAGCAAAGGAGGTTAAACCCCCTTGCTCCAAGCAATTTAGGTTTAGGCTAATTGCCTTATTTTTGACGTGTTTGTAGGCATTTATCTAATAGTATCTTCTTTTTTGTAACTACTGGTATCTTTGTTACACCAACCCATGGTAAACCTGGCATATGCAAAATGGATATATACTGCCCGGCCGATTTGAAACATAGTGCCACCAAAAGGTGACCTGAAGCGTCGTAGTAACCTCCTGGCTTAATACATGTCTAGAGCAAGAAAAGGAGTGCAAGCTTCCCCCTTGTGCATTAGATTAAACCAAGGACATTCTACAATGTCCTTGATAGAGTTTGATGCCTTGGGACTACAGTACTACACAGAATCACCAGGTGTCGCTGTTGCTAAGAACCGGTCAGGTTACTGCGAATGACGCAATTTGACGTCACACGGATAAACAACAATGGCGGACGAAAAGAAAGGTATGTGTTACCGATGTCTTCTGACTTTAGTTAGTATGAAGGGCCTTGTACTTGTTAGAAGTAAATACATCTTGAAGGTTACAAGTTTAAGCTTCGACAGAGAGGCTTCAAATGTTTATGACATTCTTGAACGTTGGAATTCGCTGAAAGAAAGTCTGGTAAAGTTAGTTTCATTTTCACTTCCTCATGCGCAACATGCATGCCATTACTTTAGCATCCTTTAAATTTTCCTTCAATAACAGAGAGGTTAGACAACTACAATGTACTTACATGTAACTAATGCTCTGAGCCTGAAAGTGATTCTTGTGAACCTTATGGTAAATAAGTTTTAAACTCAGTATGTATTGTATAGTATTTCACATACTTGAATACATAATTTAGCTTGAGGAACTTTTATTTGAAGCCCCATGGTTGATTTCACCTTAATTTTTAATCTCCAAGCAGATTCTATGGGGCAAGAGGAGTTTAATTTAATGTATTTAAGATTATGTATATAATGGCCATCTGTAACAATGTTCACAGATAACAGCCAATATACATTGTAGACTCTCCTTTCCCTACAGAATCTGCTTGGAAATTATTAAACGTTATGTACTAAAAGTACATGTAAATCTACTTTTGCATTATAACCTATATTTAGCTTGTTTAGTTATAGATCATGAACTTTAAATAATGGTCTTAATTTTTCTTAAAATTTATATGCTACATAACATATGTATACTGGCTTCTTTATGTGTATATGTAAAGAGGCTTCCTTCAAGTTACAATGGATAAACGTTACATGTTTATATTGTTTATTGAAAACCAAAACCCATCACAGCCTCACGACTGAATTGTGAGGTTTGTACAAAAGTCGTGAGCATGTTACGCTTAGGCCACACCAATTTAATTTCTTGGGCCTCGTTCATGATTGAAATGTGTTCCGGTTTGGCCACGATCCGAATTGAAACGGAATATATTTTTGCGTCCGTGATTCAAAACTTGCACCCACACTGGAAACGGTTTCACACCTCGAATTGACTAGCATTTCATATGCATATCACAATTTCTATGAACATTTCCTGGGAACCCGGCTCATAAGGCGAAGAGTTTACGCCTGTCCGGGCGAGTGGTCGCTCGTTCCCGACTCATGTCCTCCCCATAGGCTGTGCCCCGGACGCATCTGGCACAAACCCTCACGGTCCGCCGCCCCAACGCCCCCGTTGGGCTACCACTCGCCCTCACGCCCAGGGTAGGTTCTAGTGCACACCATCCAGTTTTCTCTGGATCTCCTGATTTCCCCCAACAAGTCAATATCGGAAGTCCCGTTTCCTCAGTCGACCAGTAATTAGAACTCGATGTCAAGATTGTACGATTCAAGTAGAATTTTCCGCAGTACAAGCCACTGCGCCGCAAACTATGGCCGACCGTGGCCCCCACGTACCCGGGAGTACAGCGTCGAACTGGAACGATTCGCATCCGCGCGTTCATGATTACAATTCTACGAACGCGAATCATTCTGTATCGTTTCAGACCACCTCGCAAGGTGGTTCAGAATAAATCGCAACGGAACCGGTTTGGAGCGTTCATGTTCCCAAATGAATCGATTTATTTTTTTAAATCGATTTGATTCGCAACAGATATCCAATCATGAACGGGGCCTTGGTTAACGGATTTTTCTAGAAAAATAATGGAGCGGGCGGACAAAAAAATAAAAATAAAACAGCCCTAGGCATCAAATTATGGCCCAAAGTGGTATGATAGGAGCCATGAAGTCAACACACCAGGCTGGTTCAAAATTTTGACAATGAATTTTGAACTTTTAATGATACCATTTCATTGAAAGATGGAATGACTTTAACAAGAAGTATGTAAAGGACTGTTTTCAATTGTTCACGGCAAAATACGAGCATTTTGCAGGTTATTCTCAATTTCTATTTTTATTTGCAAATCAGAAAAAAATGAAGCGGCGAATCCGTTAACCAACAAATTAAATTGGTGTGGCCTTACTAATATATTATTCAAAAATACCTTGTTAAAATAAAATGTTGTACTGTAGTATATGTAGTCCCGTGTGTGCAGTTTAAAGGAATATTTTTTACACAACAGGAGGAGTAGACACACAGCCACCAGCCCAGCCAGTACCTGCCTATGGAGGGCCTCCCCCCTACCCCCAGGGGCAGCCCCCTCCCCAGGGGGCTTACGGCCAGGCACCACCCCCCTACCAGGTCCAGCCCACCACATATGTGTTCACCAACACAGCCGGACAGCAGCCTGCATATGTAAGTCTGGGGTTACTATATTTATGTTGTGTTACTATAGTTCTGAACAGTTTTAATTGAAAGTGAAAGTGATATCGAACAAGTTTTGCTCATTGAAGAGTTAATCTTCCACTGGTCGTTACAGAGAAGACAGACTCCATGTACAGTATTTACAGGTTCATTGTACCAGGGAAATTCCCCCAGCTCTTTTCTACAAGTATAAGCACAATGAACAGTGGACCACGGCTTAACGTCCCGTCCTAAGGACTGCGACCCTCAACAGTAGCTTGAGCGACATCAGCTGGGATTCGAACTCCCAACCTCTTAGTCCAGAGGCAGGATCGCTAACCACTGGACTACGCACGCTGCTATATTTTTACTAAAAGTGTAAATGAAGGACTCTGCTAGTGCTAGTGTTGTTGTGAATTTATCTGACTAAGTTTTCATTTTCAGTTTGTGGCCCGAGCCCATTTCGACTTCCAAATTGACTTTCCTGTCATTCTGTGGTTACACCATTCCCCCCTCTATAGTTTGGCTCTCTGGTCCCTTTGCCTAATAAAAATATTAATCATTGGGGTGCCACTGCTGATCTTACAACTATTTTCTCCACCCTTCTTGGTTTTCAGTAATCCTCTTTGGGTTTCGCTTGCAATTGTCAATTGCTGATCCATTCTCTAAAGTTATCCTCCATATTTTTTGTTGCCTAAAAACCCCTCTTTCTCCCCCTCTATGTATAAGTTGTGTTCAAATAACTACAAACAGACAAACAATCGCACTAAAAAGCGAAACTGCTGTACCAGTACATTGTAGAAGTACCAGTACTTGAAAGGACTATTCGGCTTACTTTTTACTCTTTAGTTTTAGCAGTCACAATGTCATGGTGTGCTGCATAAGGGATAAATTCAAACAAAGGTGGCAGTCATGCATGAAAAATTATAGTGTAAACTTTAATCTTTAAAAAAGAAGTGGTGCCAACTATACTAGACAGACTCGGGTACCATGATTGTAGTCAGTTTGTCTGTGTAATGTATTAGTACAGGCAGGTTTAGCCTTTACAAAAAGGCTAGAGATCAGGCAACTTTGCCAAGTAAGGACCTATGTGTATGTATAAAGAGCTCTGCCTCATTGCGCAACAGGTTTGGCATTGTGCCAAGAAAAACTAAAAGGTCCTACAGGACAGACAACAACCTCATTGTAGTACCTCAGGGCTCAAACAGACTTTGAGAGCCGGATAAAAACATAGTTTACCTATATGGGGGCCTGCAAGGGGGAGTCCCGACAACGCTCTACGCTGAATTCGGAAACTTTTCTATTACGCTTTACGATAAATTCCAAGTGGCTACAACGCATTGCGTAGAATTAAAACGGCAAATACGCTCTACGTAAAACACGCCAATTAGTAATTACGCTCTACGTTGGCCTGTGTACGCTCTACGTAGAATTAAAACAGTCGATTACGCTCTACGGAAAAGGGCTTGCGGGCCCCCCTATATGCTGTTCTCATGCAGGGTTTTAACATGTTAGTGAGTGAGTGAGTGCTATGGTAATTTAGGTAAGAAGAATTTGATTATAAAATAAAAGACTAGTGTAGATATGCTTAAGTCTTTAGTAATACATATTACAATCTTCAGTCCCAATATCTGCTTGAATATTATCAATGCCATGTGTACAGTATTTAAATACAAGACTCAGTTGCATGAAGCCAAAAGATTGTATCATATATAGTTAATGTCTTGTTCTCTCTTCTTTTCATCTTGACAGTACTCAAGTCCTTAATTCATGTACATGATTGAATAACTATACAATACATATTGGCGTGCAATGTCTTGGCCTGAATTCATTGATAAAGATTTAACTTTTCAAGGGCCTTGTAGGCTTGCTGGTGGCCTAGGCAAGGTGATATGTATGGACCCTGGTGATATTATGGACACGGATGTCATATACAATGTATATAGTTCGCAGTAAAAACCTCTACAGTAATACACAAGTTATACTGTAGCACAGGTACTAAACTTGACATGTCCTTTTGCTTTCCTCTCACAGGTTCAGCATGTAGGCCCTGGCCAGGTCCTCCACACAGGCCCTGTTCCTAATGACTACCTGGTGTTTGCCATCATCACCACTATCTGCTGTTTCTGGCCGACTGGTATCTGTGCCATACTCAAGGCCGTGGAGGTGGGTTTTGGGCAATTTTTTACCTCCATGAAAAATGGAGGTATTGTTTTTGGTGCGTCTGTGTGTCTGTCTGTGTGTCTGTCTGTGTTTCCGGACATTTGCATCCAGCATAACTTTTGAACCATTGTATGGATTGTAATGATATTTGGTGTGTGGGGAGGTGTTAGGTAGGCAAAGGTCAAGGTCAAGTATGGGCCTCCTGGTGGATGACCTTGGTACTGCAGCAGAACTTTCGGTTTTTGTATCTTTTGTCCTGAACATGCTATGGTGTGGACTTTTGGTGACAGATACCTTTTCCTGTCAAGAATAAGTAGTGTGGGTTTGGTACCCCTAGCAGCTTGTTCTGGAACTGCAGGGGACTTTCTGGCAAAATGTTTAAACGCCAATAAGTCCTGCTAGGAACAACGTATTTTCATAATTTCTGGTGTGTAGGTAGCAGAGAGAGAGAGTTGTACATAATTAAATGCAAATCCACTAAGGCCCGATTTAGACTAGAAACGCTTAAGGGGTTTTGGCCAGGGAAACGTTTCGGAACGGTTAACCGTTCCCGGTCTAAAGAGGAAAAAACGGTTTGTTATGGGTTTCGCGGACCGTTTCCGAAAACCACCTCCATCGTGGTTTTCGACCGTTTCAGAACCCTTCAGCGGGGGCCCGAAACGCTTTTTGCTAGGTCTAAAGATAAAGGGTTTCTTGAAACGGTAAACCAGGTCACATGTCATATGCTAATCACATGCTAATAAGCCCGCGCACGGCCATTATCTGGTAGATTCGCGCCATATTTGATTGTGTCCATTTTCGCCATTTTATATCGTGTATTTCTCGAATTTTTGTTATCCTTTACGTCTGGAGGGATGGCAGAAGGCCAGGGGAGGGTCTGGACCCAAGAAGAGACCCACTGCTTGATCATCTTGATCAAACTATACAATCCCGCTTGGAGACCTCGCGTAATAGGGAGGGCATACAGATACTTGTGGACGCTGCGTGTTCAAGGTCACAATTGTGCGT